GAGGAAGACCCTCGATGAGGTGGATTGATTCAGTGACTGGGTTGATGAAGGTAGGTGAGTTGCAGACAATAAGATTGGCACAGGACAGAGGAGGGTATAGGGCTGTTGTCCCTACGAGTTGCAAGCAATTTGATGCCACATAACAATAACAACAACCAACATTGTATCTGCATCTACCATCAACATTGTTCGGGCATCTATAGTCAACACTGTACCAGCGTTCGTCAGCAACATGGTATTAGCATCTACCACCAACACTGTACCAGCACCCACCATCAACAATATTAGAATCTATCCTCAACACCCTGTCAGCATCTGCTCTCAACACTGTATCAGATTCCATCATCAATGGCCTTGCACCATCACTGGTTCTACCCACTTCCCTTGACCTCTCTCAGGGGCTGTCCTGGGGCCAAGGTGGCCTCCTTGGAGCCTACTAGCTGAAAAGCAACAATCTGTAAATCTCCAGATGAGCTGTCTGGTCAACCAGTGACAAAGAAACCTCGATGATTTAGCACCAGAAAATTATTTTCTTCCTAATGGCCCTTAGAGTCTCCAGGAATAGTACATTTACTAAAATTAATGGCAAAACCTCATTTCTCTTTTTCTTTCTTTCTTTTTTTCTGGGAAGAAAAGTCTCATCTGTGGGGTAATTGATCCTGATGTGGATGTGTTGGCTGGGGTGTAAATCATTCACATGAAACAACTCACAGCCCTTTAAATCAACACCAACAGTGACGGATGCTCCGGGCTGGAGACGGGCAGAAAGGCGTGGGGAGGAGAGATCCATCAACATCCTTTCCTCCCCGCTCGCTCGCCACGTTCTCCGGCCTCCCCAGCAGAGCCATTTATCAGCAGTGGGGGTTGAGGGCAGCATGGCGTAACAGGAAGGGGTTTTTGGGGAGGTGGAATGCAGAGGGGTCCCAGGCTCAGCTCTGCCCCTGCCCAGCTCTGTATCCTCCAGCAGGACACTTCTTATCTCTGCACCCCCACATCCTGGTCTATTAAAGGGGCCGCTGTGCCCACTTTCTGGGGTTGGTATCTGTGTGAAAGGAATAGACCAAACATCCAAGCACAGACTGACTCAGTAGGTGTTTGTGCAAGAATGAATGAATGAATGAAGGCATGCCCTGACTGTGGAGTGAGGAAGTTCCTTCTCTCCCTTCCCAGAAGATCTGTTTTGTTTTGTTTTTACAAAACAAAGGTGAAATGACAACACTTTAGCACAAAGAAATGAACTGACATGCGTGGAGATACTGGGCGTGAGAGAGATCTGGCGCCAACTGGCCTCTGAGACAAACGAAGGCCTGAGAGGCACAAGCAGCTTGTTCTTGACTGCAAAGCTGAACGTCGGTGGTTTGGGTCCACACAGCAGCAGCACGCAAGAAAGGTCTGGCAATCTTCTGTAAAGGTCACACCTCCTCTGTAACACACGGGCTTTCCATGAGTCAGAATCTACTCCACTGTGGCTCATTTGGACTTCAATTGTTGTTGTTGTTGTTGTGTACCGTAGCTGACCCTCTGGCGGGTTTTCAGAGGCAGGAAACTGCATGGGAGCAGACTGCCCATCCTTCTCCCGCAGAGCAGTTGGTGGCCTCGAACCGCATGCCTTTGGCACTGCAGGGCAGCTTCTTGTCACCAGGCCACCAGAGCACCTTAGAACTCCCAAACCATAGCCAGCTGCCTCTTAGCTTTGCCTGTGAACAGTGAGCTCCCCTTACTATACAAGACACACCAGTGATGTCTTACCGTATCTCCCCACAAAGAGGGAGTTCTCACTGCACCCCTGGCACCTAATGTGGACCTTGTCCTATCATGGAAATGATGAATATCTGGTAGATGAATGGACAGACCAAATACCGGTGCCCTGGAGGGCGGGTTGGTGACATTTGGAAAGAATGAGTGGTGCTGAGCCACTGCCCTGTCACTTTAAAGGATGGGAAGGAGGCAATGTGGTGGTGCCACAAACCTGGACAGCTGAGGTGTCCCCTCCTGAGAGTATCTGAGAAACTGCCAGGAGGCCAGGCCTCGGCCACAGGGCTCATTGGAAAATAACAGTGTTCATTTAATCCTGTCCACCTTGAGAGCTTCTAGAAAGCTCAAGAACTTGAGAAGTGCCATGGCTTCAGGAGCAGCGGCAGGTCAGCCCCAGGCTTGCGTCACTCTAACCCCTCCCCCAGAAAGCCATCGTAGTCGCTGAGTCCCTGTTCTGTGACGACCATGTGTGACCGAAAGGTGGTGATCAAAAACGTGGACATGTTGGAGGAGATGCAACAGGACTCGGTGGAGTGTGCGACCCAGGCACTGGAGAAATACAACATCGAGAAGGACATCGCGGCCCACATCAAGAAGGAGTTTGACAAGAAGTACAACCCCACCTGGCACTGTGTCGTGGGGAGAAACTTCGGTAGTTATGTGACGCATGAAACTAAGCACTTCATCTACTTCTACCTCGGCCAAGTCGCCGTTCTTCTGTTCAAATCTGGTTAAAGCATGGACTGTGCCCACACACCCAGTGATCCATCCAAAAACAAGGACTGCAGCCTAAACTCCAAATACCAGACTGAAATGTTCAGCCTTGCTAAGAGAACGCCTCTGTCTTTGAACCTTAGTTGTGTTTTGAACAGGTCCTTCCTCTGTACCAGTTTGTTATGATTATAAAGCAATTGTTGTTGTTAAGTGCCATCGAGTCATAGGCAACTCATGAGACCCTATGAATGAAAGACCTGGACACCTGTATGACTTTCATCTTTTCTCCAGGTTCGTAGGGTTTCCAGAGGCAAGCAATTTCAGAAGTGAATGCCACTCCTGCTTCCAAGTTTTGTTGTTTTTGTTGTTGTTAAGTGCCGTTGAGTCGCAAGCAACTCATAGTGATCCTACGAATGCAAGTCCTGAACATCTCCTGTATAACTTTTGTACTTTCTCCAGGTTCATAGAGTTTCCGGAGGCAAGCTATTTCGGAAGCTGCTTCCCAGCTTGTTTTAATTGGGGAGCTTCACCAAACACTGTTCACTGTGGGTAACCATTCTTGCATTTGACTCATCAGTGTCACAGTGTTCAGCTTCACAGCAACCACGAGTTACCTCTGTACAGCAAGTGGACAGACAAGGGTTACAGGACCTAGAAGAATGTTTCACCAAAAACAATTAAAGGAAGTCCTGAGGGCCGTAGAGTGGAGTCACCCACCTTTGGCTTGGGAGCACGGCTTTCTGTCCGCTAGGCCAACTGCTCGCGCTCTCTCTTTCTACGTTGTTGTTGGTGGTGGTGGTGGTGTTAAGTGTCATTGAGTCGCAGGTGACTCATAGTAATGCTTTAGCAAATAAAAAAAAAAACCAAACAAACCAAAAAACCCAAAAAACAAAGAACTCATTCCTGTTGAGCCAGAATCAACTCAGAGTGGATTCTCCCTTGTCCTCCTGAGGCTACGTTTGCACAGGAAGAGATCATCCATCTTTCTCCTGCAGAGTCACTGGTGGACTTGACCTTCCAGGGAGGCCTGGCCCCTGGGTTAGTGGATCGACCTTGTGTGTCTCTGTCCCTCCCACCAATGTCGACCCCGGTGTCACGGGGCCTTTAGTTGATGCTCAATAGATATGTGCTGAACATGCTCTGGGATCCTGGCAGGCAACTGTTCTCATAAAAGGAAATGACTGCCGAAACCAGAAACAAATGCAAATTGTATAGTGCACTGCCCCACAGGTAAAGCATGTGGTTCTCACTCACTTGTTCTTCACTTGGAACAGACTCATAGCTGACTGACTCTCTACCTGGATTCCTGAGGCTGTAAATTGAAACAGAAGGAGACTGTCCACCTTTTGTCCATCTTTCTCCCATGAAGCCATTGGTGGATCAAACTGGCCAGTATGCACAGTCTTTGGGTTAACAGTGCAACTCATGACAGGCTATGTCATGTAAGCATAAGTCAGTGGATTCAATGAGACATACAGCTGGACAGGCCTGGGTTCAACTTCTTGTTTGCCTGTGGCCCAGAGCAAGAGAATGGACACTCCAGCCTCTAGCTGTGCAGGCAAGTGGCCCTGTGCCTCGACCTCCCCATATGTAAACAGGAGGTAGCACTACCATTGACTTCAAAACATCAGAAAGAAATGAGAAACATTTAATCCAGAACCTGGAACAGCAGAAGAGCTCAAGAAACAGTGCCTCTACCCTCATTTGCTTTGTTGTTGTTTTTACAAACAGGTCTCATGTTGACTGGACATGACCTTAGACACTTACCTTGTTGAAACCTCAGTTTCCTGATCTGTAAGATGGGGATAATAAAGGGAACCACATGAGGTTGTTGTGAGGACTAACGGGGATAATAAATGGTAAGACCTGGCGCAAGGGAGGCACTCAACAATCAGTAAAAGCTCATCTTTGTATGAGCAGAAAACAAACCAACAAAAAACCAAACACTCAAATTCACTGCCATCAAGTTAGAACTGACTCATATCGGACCTTTCTTAGGGTCTCTGACGCCACAGACCACATGGGAGGAGATTCCTCATCTGTCTTCCTCCGAGTCACTGGTGGATTTGAACTCCCAGAGGAGTTGTAAACTCCCTCTAGACCATCGATGCTGAATATCAGAGTCAGAATCAAAACCCTAGTTGACACTTCAACTGGTTTTCAGAGGCAGTAAATCTCACGGGAGTTGACTGCTCATCTTTCTCCCACAGAGAAGACGGTGGATTTGAACCGTGTATCTTTGCACTGGCCGTGCAATTCTTTACCATGAAACCACCAGAGCTCCCTATGAACAAGGCCAGCAGAGCTATGAGCACAAGGCATGAACAGAGGACATGCATGAGTTTGCAGCTCATCAAGAGAAACAGCCAATGTCATTGGTCCATAGTGGGCCTCGCCTCCAGCGTTTGCAGCGTTTGCAGCCAATGATCTGCTGTTCCTCAGGTCATCCCATCAGGATGTGTCCAGGCTGTCTCAAAGCCCGAGAGACAATCAGATGACTTCCCTCTTGAAGCCCACCCCAGTGGACTCACCAGCTCCATGCAGCGCCGGCTGGCCTCCGCCTCCCGCAGCACCAGCTCCTCCATGTCCACCTTCAGCTCCTCCAGGCGCCGCTGGTAGTACTGGCTGCTCTCCCTCTGCTGGGACTCGGAGGCCGCCGCCCGGGACAGCTCCTCGTCCATCTTGATCAAGCTGTCCCGGAGCCGGATGACCAGGACCTGCAGGAGCGGACCGAGGGTGGAGGACAGTCACCTTAGAGCCAGAGGCGTGGCGTCTGAAACAGGGGCTTCTGGAGAGCTAGCTGTCTTTTACCTTTTCATATTTGTGATAATCATTTGAATTCCTACTATAAAAAGGAAGCCCTTCTCTTCAAACATGGTCAATTGTAACTACTATTCTGAGTTGCACAGCTTGAGGTGACGCAAACAGTTGGACTTGGGTTACTTTCTCCCCCCCCCCCAAACACAATATGTCTTTTATTTCTCCTCCCCCTCTGAGATTTTTTAAAATTTTTCTACTAGTTTCTTTACAAAATTAGAATACATTGTTTTCAAGAACAAATTCTTTCAATTTCCCTCACCCCCCCACCCATCAAATTGTACAACCCCATGATTAATCCCACCTTCCCCCTGCACATTTTCATCCCTCTGCTTCCAGCCTCTTCCACCCCTCTTGGATCCTTATACTCATTCTACAAATGGTTTTATATCATTTTTATCCTTGTGGGACTGAGTTAGTTCACACAACATAATGCTCTCCAATCCCTCCCAAGTTAGGTAGTAATTTACAAAATCACTGCTCCTGCGTGCTGCATAGTATTCCATTGTGTGAATGCACCATCATTTCTCAATCCATTCGTTTGTAGTTGGACATTTGGGCTGTTTCCATGTTCTTGTAATGGTGAATAATGCTGCTGTGAACACTGGTGTACAAATCTCAGTTTGTGCCTCAGTTCTCATATTCCAAGTTATGGAATAGCTGGGTCATATGGAATGTCTATGTTCAGCTTTTTGAGGAAGCGCCAAACTGCCTTGCAGAATGGTTGCACCATTTTACAATCCCACCAACAATGTATAAAAGTTCCTTTCTCGCCACATCCTTTCCAACATTTATTACTCGCTGCCCTGTTAAACTTTGCCACTGTTATTAGAGAGAGATGGTACCTCATTATGGTTTTGGACTTAGGTTATTCTTTGAAAGGCTAGCAATTCGAATACACCTGGAGTCCCCAGGAAGAAAGGCTTGGTGATCTACCTCGACAGTGTTAGCCAAAAATACTCTCTGCCTCCGTCTGCTATGTTACATAACAGATCTACTCTGTGGGTTTTCTTGCCTGTCATCTTCATAGGTGATTGCCAGGCCTTTCTTCCATGACAACCCTAGCTGAGTTTGATTCATCAAGCCTAGTTGAGTTTCACTCACCAAACTTGAAGTTGATACTCACTTCAGTTCAGTGGATTCAAACTCATTGCTACCTTCTATTAGATTTCTGAGGCTACAAATTTTAATGTTTATCTTTCTCCCAAGAACCAACTGGTGGTTTTGAACCACTCTCCTTTTATTTATCAATGCAGCACCCAGTACTGGGTATTCTTCTTCACCAGAGTTTATCTTTTTTTTAAAAAAAAATCCCCTCTTTTCTCAGTTTCTCCCGAACCCCCATGTCAGTCCTGTTTTATAACAGTGCTGTTATGCAGTATTTGTCTTTTTGTGACTGAGAAACGTCACTCAGCATAATGTCCTCAAGGGTCACCCATGTTGTGGAATATTTTATAAGTTCCTTGTTTTTCAATGCTGCATGGTATTCCGTTGTGTGAATATACCATAGTTTTTTCTATCCACTCATTTGTTGATGACAAAATTCTTCTTAAGGTTAATCACTCACTCACTCATTGCCCTTGAGGGGGAACCAACTCATAGCTGACCCTCCGGTGGGTTCTCAGAGGCTGCAAACTGCATGGGAGGAGACGCCTATCTTCCTCTCATGGAACAACTGGTGGATTCGAACTGCTTGCCTGTGATTTGGCAGTTCAGCTCCTTATCCACTAAGGTAAATCATTAGATCACAATCTATTGGTACCACCCAGGGACCTTCCTGCAAGATCAAAGCCATTGAAAACCCCGTGAGGTGTTGCTCTACGCTGAGGTCACCATGTGGCAGTCTACGCTGTTAGTCACATTTCCAAACCTACTCTCTCACATGGGTGACTATAATCATTACTATTATGGGAGGTGGTAAGAAGCTGAACTGCAATCCCAAAGGCATGTGGTTCAAACCCACCAGCCATTCCACGGGAGAAAGGTGGGCAATCTCCTCCCATGTGATTTGCTGCCTCTGAAAACCTGCTGGAGGGTCAACTATGAGTTGGTTCTGACTTGACTGCACACAACAAGTGTTACTGATGACAAGAGCCATTCTCCACATTACTAATGAGAATCCTGACTCCAGAGATGCTCTAGGTCCAAATATCATCCTCTCCTGCTTCCTGGCAGCGGGGATGGGCGTGCCTCTTGTTACAGGATGTCAGGATTAAATGAGCTCACTTATGCAGACAGCTTAGCCCAGTGCCTGGCGCATAAGACACATTCCACACAAGCTGGGAATTGTTTATATTTACAGCAGCCCTCATCCACCCTTAGGTTGAGGGAGTGGATTGTGCAGTGAGAGAACACTAGCCTGTGTGTGTGTGCGTGTACGTGTGTGTATAGACACACACGTACGCACACCCCCTTCCCCAACATGGAGTCTGGTGTCCTGGTTTGGGAGAGTAGAGAGGCTGATCGAGAGCCTTGATTCTAATATTCTGTGGCTTTCCCCCTTCTTTCTGTGATGAAAACACAATGCAACAACAGAGGGGGGAAAAAGTCTGGTTCATCCTGAGTGCTAAGAAAACATCAACACACAGGCTGTCCTGCGGAATTCAGCAGCTGGTCAACAAGCGCACAGCCAGTTGGTCTTGAAGGGCAAATAGTCCGATGTGGACACAGGAGGGAGACACATGAACTTTCCAGGCCTTGGAAGCCCTCCAACCCCTGCTCACCCAAACCCACTATATCAAGTAGACTCCAGTTCGCAGACTCCCTGCAGGACAGAGGAGAAGGGCCTCCCAGGCTCCCCAAGGCTGCAGATCTCTGCACAGGACGTATGGGCTTGATGTGGCGTCTCATTCCCCTCAACCCTTCAGCTTCCGCATTAGCCTCTTTTTGCAGCAAGGAAAAGCGATCAGACGTCTCCAGACAAAGGAGAGCTAGCAACCCATTTCAGCCTGTTTCCTCGCTGGGCTCTGCTGTTCCCATTGATTTCCAAGGCTGTAAATCTGCAGCCTTCAATACAGATTGCATCTCAGTGTCAAGAAAGCAAAAGTCCCTACCGCTGGAACAATAGGCGACATCATGACAGATGAAGAAAAGATTGAGACTGTCAGCGACTTCATCTTACATGGATCCACAATCAATACAACTTGGTACCAGCAGTCAGGAGAACAGGGGGTGCAATGCACTGGGAAAGTCTAGCGTCGGGAACCTCTTCAAATTATTGAGGAGCAATAATGTCAGTTTGAGGACTTAAGATGTGCCTGATTCAGGCCACGGTCTTTTCAGTCACTTGCTGTGCATCAGAGAGCTGGACAATGACTAGGGATGACAGGAGAAGACTTGATGCCTTTGAACTTGGTGCTGGAGAAGAGTATCAAATGGATGGCCAAGAAGACAGGCAGATAAGTATGAGAGAGTGCAGCCAGGGTGCTCCTTGGAGGCAAAGATGCGGGGGCTTTGTCTGACATATTTTGGGCATGTTGCTAGGAGAGGCTGTTCCTCAGAAAAGGACATCATGCTTGTGGAAAGGTGGAGGGATGGCAAAGGAGAGGAAGACTCTCGATCAGGTGGATTGGCACAGTCGCTGCAGCAATGGGCTCAAGTGTGTCAGAGATGATGAGGACGGCACAGGACAGGACAGGGTTCAGAGCCATTTGTTCAAAGGGTTGCTATAAGTCATACTTGACTTGACGGCACCTAACAACAACAGACTCTTTGTGGGAGCAGGCTGCTCTCATGAAGTGGCTGGTGGATTGGAACTGCCGATCTTTGGGCTAGCAGCTCAGAGCTCAATCCATTACCCTACCTGTGCACCTTCCAACAACTACAGGTAGAAACAGACTTCAAGTTGGAGTATGACTAACAGACTAAATGATATAGGGAGGCAGGTGACCGTTCAGTTCCCCTCTACCTTTCAGATGGAGTTCAGCAATCCTTTTTTACTTTTTTCTTCTAAGAGCTCAGCAGTACTTCTGATGGGCCATCAGGAGGGGGGGAAGGAAGGAAAGTCATTCTCAAAGAGTCCGTAAGGCACCCCATCACCCCGCCACCTGGATGCAGGGTTCTGCTAAGCTTCTGTTAAGGGGGTGACGAGAAGGTGCAAGTGGCTGTGGCTCAACTCAAGGCCTCTCTCCTCTACTTTTTCCTTCCCTGTTAGTGTTTGGTGGTGCCAGAATCACATAAAACCCAATACCCGTCAGAGCCCCACGCGCCCTATTTAATCATTTAAGCTGCAGGAGATCAAAGTTGTGGGGTAATCTGCAGACACAGGCATGCACTTAGGGGTCCCCAGGGTGGATCTGAGAATGGCAGGCGTCGAGAGGGAGAGGAGTTTCCTTCTGTTCTTCCTTCTGGGCAGCCTCAGGGATGAGTGAATGCCCAGGGAGATGGAAACCGTCCCGGCCTCCCGCTGTCCCGGCTTGCTGGAATACTGAGATCGGCTGGCTGCAGACATCGGGACCAGAGGCTGGGATACCTGATGAGTGCTTCTTCGTTTCCCCCAACGCGATACATTTTCATATACAGAAAACCAAAGCCACACGTGAAAGGAGAAGAAAACCCTCAATGGGATGGACTGGCACGGTGACTGCAGCGATGGGCTCGGGTGTGTCAGAGATGGAGAAGGGGACAGGACAGGGCACGGCTCAGACCCGTTTTTCACAGAGTGGCTGAGATGAAATAGACTTGACAGCATTTAACAAGGACAATAACAGCAACAGGAGGAGTTGAGGTCCTGAAGGCACAGACTGGATGATTAACATTCTCCCACTCTACTCCACCCAACTCCTACGTCTGGGGAGTTGTCGAGTGTCGTTGAGTTGGAACTGACCCACAGCTGCCCCTCTAATGGGGTTTCAGAGGCAGCTAATCTCACAGGAGGAGACTGCCCATCCTTCTCCCACAGAGCAGCTGGTGGATTCGAACCGTGTAGCTCTGGGGATGTGATGCAGCTTCTGACCATGAGGCCGACATGTCACCACTTGGTCTCGTATGCAGCATGAATGTGGTCAGAAGGGGGCCAGTCCTTGGAAAAAGGCATCATGCTGGTGAAAGAAGAGGGTCCTGGAAGGAGAGGAAGCCCCTCAGTGAGGTGGGCGGACACGGTGACTGCAGCAATGGGCTTGAGCATGGCGGGCATCGTGAGGCCATGCAGGATGGTGAAGTTTCCATCTGTCGTTCACAGGGTTGCTGTGAGCTGGAGTCGCCTGCTGGCACTGCCCACCGCCCACGATCAAGGGGCCTAGAGGGCACACTGAATCCATGTTCCCACACAGGCAGTTGGAGGTTGACAACTTGAAGGAAGGTGATTGTCAGACCCTGTTCTAGCACAGTGGGTTTGAACCTCCAACCCTTAAGTCAGCAACCCAGTTCTTAATTTTTTTTTTCATTTACTACGTTTTATCTTTTAATGCAAACTTTTTTAAAATTAATTTTAATGAAAGTTTACAGAGACTTAGGGTTTCCAGTCATTCACTGTTGCATTTTCTCCCTACCCACCCATCTGCAATTCACTCTTCTCCTTGAAAAGAAAAAGAAAAACTCTTTCACTGCTATGCAATCCCTTCCCACAAGTCCACTCCACCATGCAGCCTTCACTCTGGACTTCTGTCATGGCAAGAATACCCATTCATATGTCCCTTTTAAACAGTTCTCTCCCTCATCTGTTTCAATGCAGTATATATCCAAGTGCTTAAAAATTTGCAGCACTAGAAATCCTTTTAAATGTTAATAAAAACAAAACAAAACAAAATAAAATAAAACTCACTTCTATGGGTCAGAACCAACTCATAGCTGACCCTCCAGCAGATTTTCAGAGGCTGTAAATCACATGGGAGGTGACTGTTGATTGTTCTCCCAAGGAGCGACTGGTGGATTTGAACTGCCTGCCTTTGGGTTGGCAGCACAACTCCTTACCCATTCATGTCAATGCTGTTGTTATTGTCAGGAGCCATTGAGTTGGAAGTGATGGACAGCTGACCCTCCGGGGGGTTTTCAGAGACAGTAAATCGCACAGGAGGAGATTGCCCACCTGTCTCTCCCAGAGCAGCTGGTGGATTCGAACTGTGTGCCTTTGGGGTTGGCACTGTGGCTACATACCACCAGCCCACCCTCCGTGTCGGTACCCACCTCAAATCTCTTAATCTGCACCTTCTGGAATTCCGTCTTGTTCTCGAGATCACAGATGACCTTCTCCTGCCTGCTGACGATGGCTCTGTCCACCGTGGACTGCTCCAGGTATGTGATGTGCAGCTGAGCCACCTGCAACTGGGGACACACCCAAGAGGGGCATGGGCCACCTGGAGCCCCCAAACCCCCAACCCACAGACATATGCGAGCGCCCACCCCAGGCCCCCATGCACACTGTGGTTCCTGGCTCAGTACTGTGTGCTGAAAGTCCACACAAGCTGGGCTCCCATCTGAGGACACAGGCTGGACCTTCACGTGAGCGCTTGCCCTGTGTTTCAGCGCCCAAAGCAGGGCTTCGCATCACCAGCACTTCCTGAACCCCTTTCCCTCCTGTGCTAAATGGAGTCAAGCCGGCCTTTAAGCAGCAAACTTGAGCATCAGACAACCAAAGCCCTGAGTGTGTCTGGGAGCAAGGAGTGCACTGTGGCTGTCAGGGGCCGCTTCCACCAAGCCAACACGATGGATGGAGGGCACAGTGTGTGTCACAGCGGGCTCGGGCGTGTCAGAGATGCGGGACAGGGCAGGGTTCAGATCTGCTGTTCAGCAGGTCGCTATTTGGTGGCTCACAACAACAGCAGTGATGGGGAAGTCAGAGGCGTTTGGAGGCACCACCCTTGAAAATAGGCTCCCCAGAGGGTAACAATGCCTCCTGGTATCTTTCTCCTTCTAGCCGTTTTCTCTGTGGGAGAAAATCTTATCCTCAATGATCAATGGGTTCTTTGAATACAGAACACAGGCATAGGGTGTGTGTGTGTGTGTGTGTGTGTGTGTGTGTGTGTGTGTG